GCCACTGACATGCGGGACACGGTGGCTGGAAAGGCCTCTTTTTGCTTTCACACTTGGGTTTGATGTTCCTGCTCCCTGCAATTAGCAGTGCTATCTTTACTTCTGGGTGCATTTCAGTGAAACCCAAAAATGTGCATGGGGCTGGACAGTTGACCTGGAGCCCCCTGGAGCCACTGCCTGAAAGCCAAGATGTCCAAGATTTCCTTGCCCGTCAAACCACTGTTCCTCTCCACCCGCAGTTCTTAACAACGGCCAAGTGTAGCCACAGGCAAAACAGCCTCCAGGGGAATCTGGTTCCGAATGTACGCGTTCATTTGTCTCCACAGAATCTTGTTAAATGCGGGTGCTTTCCACCTCCAGGAGCTGGCCCTCTCTCTTACGGTAGCTCAGAGAAATCTCTTCCTTGAAAGAGAGAAGAGTGTTACGTTTCTGAGGAAATTCTGTAGGGGGGCTAGATCATCATCTGGGAACGAAAGTCAGGAAGACGATCAGGTGAAAATATTTTATTCATCATGGTGGGAACTGAATGAGGTAACCGGTGTCCTTAGTTCCTTTATCATGAACGTGGGGCAATTATACATACTGGGCTATGAAACAAGATAGCAAATGGGAAAGCACGGGGGAGGTAATGGAGGTGGTAGAATGCGCGCTGGATGGAGTCCCTGAGGCCCTGGGCCGTGTTAACTAGAATCATGACAGCATCACTCACTGCCTACCAGAGCCATACCGCCTGTAAGACTGTACTATGTTCGAATGTGCCAGTTATTAAAATATTAAAATACTTCCCTACTGGGAGGTAAATGGCCCCTTCCAGAAGGCCCCTCTGCCAACCAGCCCCCTCCAGTGTTCATGCAGCTGATCCACCTTTGAATACTACACCCAGAGTTGGTTGAGCAGACACTGTTATCCCATTCTAGAGATGAGAAAACTGAGCTTTAGAAAGGCTATATAATGGTGTGTCCCAGGTCATCTATTGGGTTAATAATAGAACCAGGACCATAAAATTCATTGAATCCAAACCAGCCTCTTCATTCTGTGGCCAAGGAGACCCAGACAGTTTGGAGGACTTCCCAAAGCCACGTGGTTGGCTGGCAGAAGTCCTGTCTCAGAGCACAGAGAACATGCTGCTGCAGGATGTCACCTTCCAGAAGAGGGGACGGCTGTTAGAAGAGCAGTAGACAGACCCGGGGCCTCTGTCCCTGTCCCCCTGTGTTTGGGGCACTTGGAGCTGTTGAAATCATCAGGTTCTGCAGCCTAGAAGGGGTGGGAAAAGCTGGACAGTGGGAGCTGAGGGGGTGTTTGTGGGAAAGCGCACAGAGGCGGGAGCAGGGGAGATGGGTCCTTCGGAAGCGATGTAGGAAAAGGGAGTACATGAGGGATAAGGTGTGGCCTGAACCGGGCAGCGGGAGATGAGGAGGAGACAAACATCTGTTGGATGCTTGTTCTGTCTGGGTCAGATGCTTTATATGTGGTAGTTCATGGGGACACCCTCCCCGCAAAAGCCCTTTGGAGGAGGAGTTTTTAATCTCCACTAAGCATTAAGCAAAGCAACAATTAATTAGAGCCCTTTCAAGGCTCTGAAATGAGCAGGAGGAAGATAGGCTTGCCTTCAGTGTCTAGTGACTCCCCAGCCAGTTTAGTGAAGGACTCTCAGAGGTGATTGTCTGAGCCCTAGGCCTTGGTGGAGGTGCTTGGGACCCAAGTCAGAGAGAAACAGGAGGGTTTCTCTGCAGCTTCCCAGGAGCCTTAGCCGCAGAGGTGGTTTTATACCTGGAATCTCCGTGTGACGCAGGTCCGGATCTGAGGAGCTGGGGTGGGAGGAGGGGGCAATGTGGTGGCCATGGTCCCTTCATGCCTTGCTGCCTAGGGAAAAATTGCCATTTTACATTTCAATTAGGAGGGACACTGGGGTCAATCCTCAGTGCCACCAGAGGAAAACGGACCTGGCCCAGCCCTGGGCCTCTCCAATTATTATTAATGAACTTACTCTCAGACCTGCCAACCTTTTTATATGCAAACTAGGTTTTTATGGGGCCACTGGCAATCAGGACTCATTAAAGAACACGCGCCAAGCCTCAGTGAGAATCTTACAGGGGAAGAGAGGCTTATGCGTCTGCCCACATCCTGGACTAGAAGCAGCCCAGCCCCAGGCAAGTTCCCAGCCCTCACAGGAGGGGATAGCAGCTCCGAAGTCCCGCTGGGCACGGGGAGATCCTTCCAGACCCACCGCTTCCTCCTGAGGTGGTCCTGGCCCACTAGGAGGAACTTGCCTCCTTTGTTAAGGGGAGGGAAGAGGGTGTGCTGGCGGTCAGCTTCTTCAGCTGCCAACACGTCTGCTGATACTGAGCCATGTTTCCGCTCCCTGCCTCAATTTCTCCTTTGCAAAGTAGAAGGGATCCATTAGGTTGGTCCAGAGGGCTCCCAGATGCCAGACACTTCCTGAGTGTTGTTCGTGGACAGTAGTAACATTTTGCTCTAGGAGATGGGAGCGAGAGATCCAGAACTCCTCTTACTCCAAATGCAACCATAGACCCAGCTCCCCGATGATGCCAATGTGGATGGAGCAGGAGGGGAGGTCAGGCTTGTGCATGCTTTAGGAAGAGGAGAGCTGCCCAGGGCCTCAGGAAAAGGGAAGAGTGCAGTCAGCACCTTCTGGCTCGAAACTCCCTGCTTTTCATAGATCTCCTCTCTTGATTCTCCAACATCACACACCTCCTGCTCCAGTCCTGAGCATCCTCCTATTCACTAAATCATTCTTGTCTTCTCTGTGTCCTGCACTCTCATCTTGCTGGAGAGGGGGGCGGGGTGCTGAGGTGGCAGCCGAGGCGGGAGCACAGGATGGAACTGCTAAAACTCTCTCCATATGGGACCCTGAGTCCCTGGAGACCCATGCGCTTTGGAGTCTCAGGACCACGTGCCAGGCTCAGTGCTCTGCCCCTTCTCCCCTCCTGCTGCGCTCTTCTGTGTTTTCATTTATTTTTAATTGTAGAAAAATACACACATAAAACTTACCATCTTCACCAGTTTTAAGTGCAGATCCGTGGCATTAAGTACATTCATACTGTTGTGCAACCATCACCACCATCCGTCTCCAGAACTTTGTCGTCTCCCCCAACCAAAACCCTATCCCCGTGAAACACTGACTCCCCATTTCCCCTCCCCCAGCAACCACCGTTCTGTCTCTATAAAGTTGATTATTCTAGGTGCTTCATATGAGTGGAATCATGTGATCATTGTCCTCTTGTGCCTGGCTTATTCCACTTAGTATGATGTTTTCAATATTCAGACACACTGTAATGTGTGTTAAGATTTCCTTCCTTTTAAGATGGAATCATATTCCATTTTCAGTATGTATCACGCATTGTTCATCCATTCGTCCACCAATGGACACTTGGGTGCCTTCCACCTTTTGGTGTGGTGAATAATGTTGCTATGAATAGCAAGTTCTAGTCTCCGCTTTCAATTTCTTGGGGTATATATATCCAGAAGTGAGATTGCCAGGTCTGCCAGACCTCGGCTAGCTGCTTTGCAGAATAAAGGTACGGGCAGCCTGAAGGAGAGAGAGGGTTAGTTTGATGGGCCTGGAGCACCCGCTCCCCTGTGGTAAGGCTCCAGGGTAATGAGGAAGGACAGAGGCGAGACCACCCCAAATCACAGAACCAGGACGGGGAAGAGCTGAATGGGGTCCTTGGGCGGATAAGGAAGTTGGGTCTCCAAGTAGGGGTGTGATGTTCTCAGGTTCCATAGCTTGTCAGAAGCTCAGCAGGCACTAGAATGCGAGTCTTCGCCCTCCCAACTTTCAGTGGCAGAAGGGGCTCATGCTTTGCCTTCAGACCCAGGAGGGACAGCTGTCAGCTGCCTGATTGCCTGAGACCCCTCCAGTCGGCCGTTCCCCGGCAGGTCCTTTCTGCCTTACTCAGCTGGGCAGGAGGGCTGGGGTTACAGGCCAGAAGGCTCTGCTGAGAGCAGCATCCTTAAAAGGTTGGGTGTACCAGGCTTTTGATGACCAGCCTGCCCAGAAACCACCTGGCTCAGCATGACCCAGTGTCATAATGGGAGTCATCTGGGGGATGCTGGGACCTGCCTGACATGGGGGGTCCACGTCCTGCTTGCGTCTGCAGAAGGCCTCACTCCTGCCCATGCCCATCGGGCCTGGCATTACTGACTCTCTTCCACCCAAGTCCTCAGAATCCAGCTACATGCCACCTCCCACCTCTGGACAGAGGACAGAGCACCCACACTCTGTATTTGACCCCATTTTTCCCCCAGCCCTCCTGGGACAGAGCTGACTACCTCAGGGGAAAAGGGCCCAGTCATTTCCTCCATCGCCCAAGGCTCTCTGGGCCCCACTCAGCCTGAGGGATGAGGGTGCTCATTGCTAGCATCCAAGAGGTGCTCCCTGTGTATCTGCTCTGAGGGGCATTTCCATGGGGTCAAGTGCCACAGAGGGCAGTCAGAAGCTTCTCGATTTTTAAAGGTCTCTGGAGCTCATTCCAGAACATTCCCCATTACCCAACTCAGCCACATATGGAAGACCCTCCTGGGCCCTCCTGCGGTGGTCCAGACCCACTTTCCAGAGCTGGGGCCCAGGGCTCACTGCAGAGCTGCTCTGGTTGGTCTCTCTGTCCCAACTCTTGGCAGCCTAGGACTGACGCACAGGGGTCATCAGCCCCAAGGTGGGACATGGGACATCTAGCAGCAGTCTGTCTCTGCTAGGGTGGGAGGGGGGCTGGGAAGAGTGTCAGAGTCTGGAGGGCATTAAAATGGAAACTGCAGAGGGTGGGCAGTGAGAAGTGGCCCCCAGATGGTGACTGTGGGATCTGGGATTTCTCAGACCCATTCTCTCCCACATAGAGGCTGGGGATGGGGGGATGGGCAGCAGTGTCTAGAACCTTCTGTGGCTGTGTCCGCAGGAAGGTGGAGCAGGGCAGACCTCTGGGCTGTGTCTGGAGAAGCTTTGGCTTCCCGCTCCCCAGCCCGAGCTGTGCTGTTTCTTCTAGGACTGCCCCCAGCTGCTGCGAGTGGACAAGATCCTGGTACCCGTGGAGGTGATCAAGCCCATCACCCTGAAGGCCAAGAACCTCCCCCAGCCGCAGTCCGGGCAGCGCGGGTACGAATGCATTCTCAGCATCCAGGGCACGGAGCAGAGGGTGCCCGCCCTGCGCTTCAACAGCTCCAGCGTGCAATGCCAGAACACCTCTGTGAGTGCCCCCCGCCTCCACCCCTTCCTCGTTCCTCTCTAGAGCCAAGTCAGCTCGGCTCTGTGGGATTTCCCCAAACAAGCACAGAACAGTCTAGCCCCCTGCCGAACTGCTCCCTCTAGCCCTGCTTGCCTGGCGCAGCCTCGGATGCCCGTCCCAGCAGAGTGCTGGGCTCTGAGGTCACCAAATGTCTGCCCAAGGGTAGGGGCTGCAGTAGCAGGGGCTTGGGGACCTGCCATGGGGCTGCTGAGCACCATTTGTGGGCAGAGGTATTTGCAGGGTGTGCTAGGCTCCAGGAACATCCATGTCCATCCTCCTTCCTGAGATGAGCTCTGGAGTCCCTGGGCCCTGCCTTCCTTGCAGGGCTGACCTGAGTACCTCGTTTGAGGCCCCAAAGGCCCACTGCTGCCTTTGGACCTGCACAGAGACCGTCTCCCAGCACAGAGGCTTCCGAGACAGACCAGACCCCTGCAAAGAGAGTGGTGGAACAGGATGGAGCTAGCCAGAAGGGTGCTGCTCAGATCAGCACACACCTGCCCAATGTTTAGAAAATCCACGTTAGGTCCATGCCCGACCACTGACGGGAGCGGCGGCCCCCCGCCGCGTCCCCCCCGCCCGGCCGCTGCCGATGGCTATCGCCTAATTCCTGGGTACCACACCACGTGCCCCAGCTATGCATCACCTTTCCCATCTGGCTGCCCCCCTCCTGACCTCGTGGTCTTCCCAGCCACTGCTCTGCTCTCTCTCATTCTCTTTCTGGCCTGCTCCTCTGTACCCTGATGCTCAAAGACAAACATTAGGCTTTTAGACTCATAACATTTTCAAGCTGTAGGAAACCTTAATATGCTTCCTCACTGTACAAATGAGGAACTGGATGCCCAGAAGCAGGGGCAGGTCTAGGTTTGTGGGGCTGGGACCTATATGATTTGGGGGACCTTCTTTTAAGAATAAAATGTAATAAAGACAAAATGAAATATATAGGCAGACCTGAGAAGGGGCCGAAGCTCCATGCACCTCAGGGTCAGAATAAAGCGACATGTCTAAGCTCACGCAGCTAGTCGGGGGGCAGGGCTGGATCTGGACTCAGGGTGTCCTCCTCTGTCACCCTGCCTCCCATTCACCCTTCCTGCTAGGTACTCATATATGGTGACTGTATTTGGGCATGTGCTATAGGACCAGGAGAGTCCTGGACAAAGCAGTTCATGGGCACCGCACTCTCCCTGCAGGAAAAAATCTAGGGGTAAATGGAGCTCAGAGAGGCCCGCACGCTTGCCCGAGGTCACTCAGTATTGCAGGGACCAAACGGACAATTGAGGGCCCAACCTCAGAAACCCCAGATGTGTCTCCACAGCTCCCTCCTGTCCTGGCGGCCAGGCTGTTTGGCAGATTTCTGCAGCATTCCAGGTTAAACCTGCAAGCAAATAGGCTATTAAACACCTCCTGTTTTCTCATAAATCCTGAGGCCAACCAGACCAGCCCCAAGGGTTTGGCTCAAGTGCTTCTCCCCCAAATAAGTAAGCGAGTTCCTGTGGGAAGAAAAAGCCTGAGCCCCACATGTGAGTCAGTGGAGGGCAGATATGGGTTTAGGCCCCAGAAAGAAGTCTGTTTTGTCAGAGACTCTGTCCCAGGGAATCTGGTCCCAAAGGTGTCAGGAAGGAGGACAGTCTGTGGCCTCTGATGATTAAGCCCTTGTTTCCCCAGACACTACAAGACGGGGCCTCACAGGCCCCGGGCTTCCTCTGGCTCAGTTAAATAGATGAGGGCACCCCATACAGCAGCCTGAGTTCATCCTATAAACTCCTTGGTCAGAACTCAGTGCCTTGGGACCCACTGTTCTCAGCACTCCCGAGCGAGGCCGGACTCTGTGAATGAGCCCACTAGGGGTCAAATTGTCCTGACTGGGGGGCGGGGGGGCGTCAGGGCCTCCTGGGGACAAAGGCACAAAATGGAGCCCTGACAGGTGGGTGGGTGCCCTCGTCCGGGGTACTCTGTGGGGTACCTGTGCCAGCATCTGATGCCCCCCACCCGCCAGGGGCTGTTTCGCAGGACCTGAGGTCGCTGCTCCCAAAGCAGCTCAGCCTTCTTTATTTTAATACCCTCGTGAGGAAAGTGATGGGAAAGTTTTTTCTGTATCATTTTAAGGTCTTAGAAACGAAGGCGACAGGAGGTACACCCCACAAAGGGTAGATTCCAGGAAAAGTCCCCTCTACCTACCAGGACCCTCTGGAATCATGCAGTCCAGGAGGGCTCAGCTCTGACATTTCCCAGGAGCCTCTCTTTGCAGGGATCCCAGTTGAAATGCTGGTCTGGGCCAGGATGCCACTTGTGGTCAAGTGACTTCCTTAAGAAACTTTGGGGTCATAATCAGGGGCAAGCCTCCTTTACCATAGTTATAGTACCACAGTTATAGAGGACAACATAGTGTCAGGGTGGGAATAGACCTGAGAGAGTGTCTATACTTGATCCTGTGACAGAGGGGATCTCTGAAGCCCAGAGAGGGCATATGACCAGCCCCAGGTCACACAGCAAGTAAGTAGCCAGTTCAGAACTTGAATCCAGTTTCATAACATAGCCCCCATCAAAGGTTGGGCAAAAAATAGCAACTGAGCACTTTATACCCAGCCTGAGCGCAATCCCTGGGAACAAGGTCTGATGCGCCTCAGAGAGGACTCCTGTTGTTTCACTTCTTCAGTCCCTGAACTTTCTGGAATCGGGTGGTGGGGTGGGGAAATCCAACAGAAACCCCGCGTTTGTGATGGTAGTGGGTGACAAAGAGGTCTCAGAGGAGAGCAGAGAAGGAAAAGAGACACGGGCAATCTCCTCGTGGGTGTGACACCGGGCCGGGTGGGCAGTCAGGTCGCCTCCAGCCCACATTTCAGATCACCAGAGCCATGGGGGAGGAGGGGATGTGGGAGGACCACAGGGCAGCTCACAGGCAACGGTTGGAGGGAAGAGCAACTGTGGGGATTCTTGGCCTCCTTTAGACCAAGGCTCCAGGATAATGACAAGTGTTGCTAATAATAGTGCCTGGAGCCGCCCCCCAGTCACCTGCAATCAGGCAAGTGAGTGGACCACAGGGGGGCAGCCGGCTCCAGGCCGGGCTCCCACCAGACCCACAGCAGCCGCCCATCTTTTCCTGGTGTCCCAATTTACCACGTGCAAAACAAGAATGGAGAGACGGGCGGGGAGGTAACTTGGCCCCCTCCCTGCTTTCCTGGAACCCGGCCAGCAATGGGTTTGCTGAGCCCTCGGGGGTCCTGGAGATGGACACGGAGCATACACAGGTTTCTTACTCTGTTCAGATCTGTCCACCCGAATGGTAGCATTTTTCAGCACAATATCTCAGAGCTCAGAACAGGGAATGGTTCGAGGAAAGAACGTTCAAATTGTATAGGTCTTGTCTTTGCTGTCCCAAGGTGGAGGTTCACGCTTTCCCAAGGTAATGAGCAACGTCAGCCCCGAGCTGGGCTGTGGCGTGCCAGACCTTGATTGAGTCAGTTAACCTCCTGGCCCCTGAGAGCCTGAAACACTCTCCCCTCAGCTCTGGGTTTTGTGCAGATTAACTGCCCGCTGACTACAGAGAGCTATATAAATGCTAAGTGCAGCAGAGGTGGGGAGTCCTGGGGGATGGGAGCCAGGGGTCCAGGCTCCCCAGCTGTCGGCCCCCTCCCCCTGTGGAACACAGGTCATGGGGAGAGAGCCTCCAGGAATGAGAGTGACCTCCCTAGAGATGGAGGAGGTGGTGGGGAGGACCCAGGGTTAATGACTTCTATAATATTTCATAGTCAAGATCCCTGGAATGGGCGATAAAAAAGATAAAGCAATGCCCAGCACATTCTGGTCCTTGACGTCTTTTATTTTCAATTTTCCTCGAAAAGTGAATGTGTGTAAACACACACATGCACTCCAGAACACATAAGCGTTCTCATATGCACACGTCTCCATATGTACCAAGTGTCTGGTGCATAAACACTCAATAAATGTCTGCTATTATTACTTCACATAAACATAAACACAGGAAACACCAACATATTTTTGGACAGCATCCCCAAATGTATACACAGAGACATAAAACACAGAGTCATATTTGAGCGCTCATTCCATGTGACAGGCCCTGTGCTCGGAGCAATGATGGTTATCCCCCACCCTCCGACGAGTCCTGTTAGGTGTGCAGTGTTTGTAATCCCCGCTTGGCAAATGGGGAAACCGAGACTTACGCTGTCGGCTCACACGCACACAGGTGGGCCCTGCAGAACCCTTTCACAGCGGTGTGTGCGAGTACGCGTGTGCACACACGTATGGACACACAGACCATACGGATTTGTGCTCTGAGCTCTTCTCCGGCCAGCTGCGTGTGACCTCGTTTGTGCACACGGACACACGCATGCACGCATATGCAGAATTTCTTGCCTTGCTCTCTGGGGGACTTCAGCGCCTTCCTGGGAGAGGCCTGGAGGTTCTATTGAGCTCTGGCTGACGGGCCCCTGGTTACCACCTGCTGCTTCCACATTGAATCCTGACCAGACCCTGGCCTGAGAAGCAGGAGCCAGGCTTGGATCCTGACTTAGCCCCCTGCCCCCTTCCAGCATCCCTCCTCGAGTGGAGGCCAGAACAGCCTGAAGCCAGCCCTTAGCACCTTCTCTGCACTGGGGCCTTGGAAGAGGGAGATAGATGGGAAGGAGAGGAAGTGGAGCTTGGCTGGAGGAGGGGATGGGAGGGAGAGCTGGAAAAGTGTTCTCTCCCTCTCCCCTTCCCTACCTCCTCTCCCCCATGAACTTCTTGCTCCCGCACACCGTCCTGCACATCCGTCTCGCAGGGAGTGGAGATGCCCTAACTCCGTGCAGTACCAGAGTCACTAGAGTTGTTTGTTTGAAATGCATCCCCATCTTCCAGTTCCAGCAGGTCTAGGCGGAGGCCCTGGGATCTACATGTAGGCCCCCTAAATGACTCTGACGAGTGGGGCCCCCAGACCACCCTGAGACCCACCAGCCTAGAGAGGACAAGGTTTTGTGAGAAAGCGCAGGACGGCTTAGAGCGACCTAATCTGACCCAGAAGCAAAGAACGAAGTCTCTGGGGAGCTGATTGCTGCTCTACATGGCAAAAGGTTTATGAGTCACCAGCTGAGTTAAGCGATCATCAAAGGCCCCACGGTTGTTTCTGCAGGGCTGGGAGCTTTGCTTGATTCTATTGGCCTGAGCCCCGACCTTGGCCCTGGCCCAGGTGTCATGGGTCACAAGGGAGATTCTATGAGAGGGTGCGTGGTACAGTGCAAACCACCATCACTGTGGGGAAAACCCTGAACGTGGCTCCCTGGCCTAGGCACATGTCTCCAGGGAGTTGGTGAAAAATTGCGGAGTGCTAGGGGAGAGCTGAAGAGGGCTGGGCGCCACCTCAGTGATGCGTATGCGTATACACATACGTCATGGCGTGCTCACGTTCGTGCTGTAACTCAGGAATTTAGGGCAGTTTCTCAGCGGAGGATGACTGACATCTCCTCTAGAAATCTCTAGGAATTGGCTCCAGAGGGAGAGGCACCGGGACAGCCCAGAGACCCTCCCCAGGCTGTGCATTCCCGAGGTTCTGTAGCCGCCCTCCCCTTAGTGAGGCACCAGCAGCTGGTCAGCTCTGAGGAGGGACCATCTGCTTCCTCCATAACGTCCGTCACACTCCCCACACCCCAGCCCCTCCACAGTTCAACTAAGTTAAAAGAGCCTTTGGCTCTGCAAATACCGCTTCAAACCAGGTCTCCTGGACTGAACCCCTCTAGCAAATTGCAAGCCCTCAGCCCCTCCTTTACAGAAAACCTGTCTCATTCCCGTTCTTCCATCCACCCCCTGTGGAGGGCAGAATCTGGTGGAATAATGAGAAAATCACCGGGTACGGATTGGAAATGCTGCCCTGGGCAGGCCCAGAGTTCCTGTCACCTACCCCCCTTCTCTGGAGACTGAGAAGTGTCTGTGATAAGAAGGCAGATAGGGGGCGGGGGGGTTGGCACCTACCCCTCCTTCACCCCCCCACCCCCGCCCCCAGCACTCAGTCCCAAGGCAGAGACCCAGCTGGGTGGGGCACTGAAGCTGAGGAGAGCAGGGCATGGAAGCAGGACCCAGCGAGGGCCCTGTGCAGGCCTAGAGGCAGCTCCCCCATGGGCCGCCACAGAGCTGGGGCCTGGCCTCTTTGAGCCAGCAAAGGCCTTTGGAGTCTTGACCCAGATTCCCAGGTTTGGGGCCTAGGGTGTCCTCGGGATTTCCCACCTCACCTGTAAGCCCTCCCCAGCTCTCATCTCTCTCTCATCTGCTCAGCTCCTGAGGAGTGCAGCCCCTCCCTTTCTAGTGCGGCACCTGCGTCCCCTGCCTGGGAATTGATCAGGCCTCTCCAGGTCTTTGATAAAGCACCCACCTCCTCTGAACTTGTCCTAGAAATTAAAGTTCCTAAATTGAATCAAGGGCCTTGGTGGGGGCCTAATGGCGGGGTTCCCCTGGACAGTGAGAGAGGACACTGGGAAAGCCCAGCTGGTGGGAGCCAGCATCTGTGGAAGGAGAACAAGTAGCTTGCTCTCATCTGCTCAGGGAATCTCCTTTCCAAATGGGTGTCCCATCCAGGCCTCACCTGCCTCCTGCCTGCACCCCATTCCCTGAGCCACGCCTCCCCAGGTGTGCACCCACACATGCGCTCGACACACGTACAGTTATGGCGGGTCCTTAGCCCTGAGCACCCCTGGGAGCCCCAGGCTGAAGAGCCGGCTCTCCCTAGAAATCTCTGTGACCCAGCTTTTTTCGTTGCTACCCCCAACCTGCTGCAGTATTCGTATGAAGGGATGGAGATCAACAATCTGCCGGTGGAGTTGACGGTTGTGTGGAACGGGCATTTCAACATTGACAACCCAGCTCAGAACAAAGGTGAGGAAGTTGGGCCCTGGCGGGGAGGCAGGGCAGATGGGAGGAGTGGCTCTACATTCCAGGGCACCTGTGATTCTATCCCTCCCTCCGGCTCTGAGCCTGCTCTCCTCGCCTCTCCACTGCTCCGAGACCTCCCAGGTGTGGGCCCACCGTGGGCAGTGGCTCTGGGGCCGACAGAGCCCTGCCGATGCTGGAGGGAGCCCCGCTTCCCAGTCCAGCTTCGCAGCCCGGCCCCGAAGTTCTCTTCTGGTCTTCTCTGTGTCACAATGGCTAAAGGAACAAGGCCGCTTGTGGCTCATCCTCCGAGGCTGGGACTACACTCCTTGTCCACAGTCCCATCCGCTCCTGCTCTCCCTCTCACCCCAAAGGACCTCTTGCCCTTCGTCCACAGTTCACCTCTATAAGTGCGGAGCCATGCGGGAGAGCTGTGGGCTGTGCCTCAAGGCGGACCCGGACTTCCAGTGTGGCTGGTGCCAGGGCCAGGGCCAGTGTACCCTGCGGCAGCACTGCCCCGTGCATGAGAGCCAGTGGCTGGAGCTGTCAGGCGCCAACAGCAGGTGCACCAACCCCCGCATCACAGAGGTAAGCCAGGGGCCTCGGGGCCGCTCTGGGTGGCCAATCCAGTCCCTGCCAGGCGTTGCCGTGGTGACAGCCACCACGCTGATTACCAGGGCTGGCTGGGGGCATCCTTGTTTTCCTGCCTAGCTTCCCCAGAAGCTGTGGGCTTGGTCCTTCCCTTATCAAGGAAGGTGGAAAACAGAGAGGGGCTCGACTGTCCTGTTGGAGTCTCCACATGAGCTATGTCAAACATGAATCCAAGTCCTGGCCACTCTCCCTTTGTCTCTAAGAGTCTGGGGGACGAGGCGGTTAAGCTTCATCTGGGACAACCTCACACAACAGTCAGCCATGAGCTGAGGCTGCGTGGAGCTTCAGGGCACAGAGCCCAGCCCTTGGGAGGTGGAAAGGGTGGAAACTGTGAGACCCCTGGACTCACTCAGATGGCAGTAGATGGCAGAAATGGATTTGGAGCACTGTTCAGGAGGGCCCGGGGACACAGGCGGAGGGCAAAGACAAGTGAGGGGCAGGGCAGAGCTAAACATGCAGAGAACGGGGCTGGAAGCCCAGTTCTGCCAGCTAATTGCTGGGTTTCCTGGGGCTGATTCATCACCACCTTCATGCCTCAGCTTTCTCCCCTGTGCAATGGGCCTAAAGTTCCATCTCACAGAGGAGTTACAAGGACTGTAGGAGAAAATCATGCAGAATGCTGGCTCCATGCAGAGCCCCTAGGAATCTCACCAACCTCCTCAGCCATTTTTGACACTGTTAAAGCTGTTCCCTTCCATGTCTAGGCCAAGGGGATCACTGTTCCTGGGGTTTATTTATGTCACTTGCTGTCTTAACCTCCCCACTCCCAGAAGAAAGACCCCCTTAGACTCCCCCACAACCGTGCTCCCCTGGTAAAACAAAGAAGCGGCGTGCAGGTCTCAACGGCGGGACCCTCTGTGCCTTCAGCACAGTGCTTTGCACATTGTAGGTACTCAGCACCTCTTTGCCATGGCGGATGATGATTTTAATAACAAAGCAGAGAGGGGCAGAGACAGAAAGAGGAAAGGGAGCACAGTCTCTTCTCCATGCATAGAGTGGCAGTTATAATAAGAGGCAAATATGGGCGTGGTGCTTCAGTTTGCAAAATATTTTCATATCCATTACTTTGTCCATCCTCACAGCAACACTGCCATATGGCTCCTAGGGCTGTCACCACACCGTACCACAGACCAAATGGCTTCGGTGACAGAAATCCCTCGTCTCTCAGTTCCGGAGGCTGGGAGTGAAGACCCAGGTGTGGGTAGGGCCGGCCCTTCCGAGGGCTCTGCAGGAGGACCTGCTCCGGCCTCTCTCGTGGCCAGCAGCCCATGATCTTCTCCCTGAGTCCCATCTCCTCGTCTTTCTGTGTGTCTCTGTCCAAATTCCCCCTTTATATGAGGATGCCAGTCCTGTGGGATCAGAACCCACCCTAATGACCTCATCTTAACTTGATGACCTCTGTAAAGACCCTTTCTCCAAATCCGGCCACGTTTGGAAGTACTGAGCATTAGGATTCCCGCAGAGGGATTTGGGGAGGACACAGTTCAAGCTAGAGTGCCTGCCAAAGGCAGGGTTAGCGGCCTCCTCTCCCAGATATAAAGAGCTGTGCTCAGAGATGCTAATGTCCTCTCCCCAAAGCCTGAATCAAACAGGTCCTGAGTCCCAGGTCTCTGCATTGCCCCACTAGTGCTCTCTTTCACCACGGAGGCAAGACACGCATAGATGTACTCCCTCACCCCTCTACTCACAACCATGCACACACACCAGGGATGTGTACAAGCAGGTAGGGAGCTTGACCTATGTGAGCACACGGCCTCCCTCAGCAAGGCGGCCCCTCAGCGGTGGCCCTCTGTATGTGCCCCCCGCTCCAGCCCCTTCATCTTCCACATCCCTGGTTTTCCAGACACGGGGAGTTTCCCTTAGCCTCTACTTCACTCTCCTGCATGCGTGGGAATCTCACCAGCAACTCTCAAACGGGGGCAAAAGATAGGCATTTAACCTACAGAAGTATCTGAGGAAGGAGGGCCCTGGGCCTGCCCCGCAGAGCCCTCAACACAGAACCATCCCCCGGGGGCTGCCACGCGTGATTGCTAAGAGTGTGTCTGCCGCAAACAGCGGGACTTGCTTTCTTCTTGGCCTGAGATCAAGAAAATCACAGGGAGGAGATGGCAAATTAAACAAATCTCCCTGCGAGGGAGGCTATTTACTGGCTCCACACTGGCATTGGCCCTCCGGGGAGCTGGGGAACCAAGGACTGCGCCAGACATAAAGCTCGTTTTTCAGGACAACATGCCCAGGCTGGAATATCATGCATCCGCTGCTGCCGGGGGCCAGTGGGGCTTTGGGGACTGGCTGGGCAGGCATTTGGGAAGGACATGCACTCCCCCTTCCGGCCCTCCCTACATCTGCCCACCTCCCTCACATAGAAATGGGCCCGTGTCTCCAAGGGACCTGTCTTTCCACCGCCACGGGAACACACGTGAAAACCCTCACCCTCATGTGCACACTCGCCCACAAACATGCATGGGTAGGAAGAAGGGACCACCTTAACTTGTCAGTGAGCAGCCTTCCCCAGGGAAGCTGTCCCTCCAGCCTGGTTTCTTTTACTCCCCCCTCCCACCCTTCTCCAGGCTGTGACCTTTGAGGATAGAGAGGGTAGGAAATGTTTAAGAGGTGGGCTGTCTGAGCTCCTTCAGCTGGGATCCCGCGGACATTGGCCAAGATCCAGGCGCTGGTGTTGAGAGACACCAGGAATGGGAAATGTGCCCTCCTCTGGTCTTTTGAATGACAGAAGAGGCTGGTATAGAACATCTTCTGCCACTAAAGTCACTACCGTGGGATGTCGCGGTTAGATCGTGGGAACTGTACATAGCACCTACCTCAAAGCAGGCCCCGTGGCTGTTGATTCCCAACATTTCCATCATGGGTTTTTTAACACCAATGGTGACATCTGAGGAAGAAAACCCAGTCATTTGGGCCAGTATATGAAGGTAAAGTCTAAATTAAGCCCATCTCCGTTAGAAACCAAGCCAGACAGTGAAGGCAAAGGAGCTGTGGCAAATGCCCTTCTAAATCCAGGAAAATGCTGGGTAGTTGTGGTTTCCAGCCCAATGACAACTCAAGAAATAAATATGGTGCCATCACTGAGAAGTCCACAGGAAGTAAGACACCATTCTTGCGCTCAGAGACTCAGGATCCGAAGGATGAGGAGGAATCAGACACAAATCATTGTTACCATGAAAGGAGCGTGAAATTTCTGTGGAGAGAGAGAACAACTGGTTATGGAGGAGGGACATCTGAGAAGGATCTTGAAAACTGGGTGGCTTGCCATAGTGTGGAGGGCCGTGGGTATTAAGAGGGCTTTTTTTCATTTTCCTTCAGAATGGAACAACACAAGCAAATGCCTAAAGGCTTTATTCCTTGATTTTCTATGAATTACCCTGTAACAATGTGGATCACGTTCCATCCCCTCATCTCTTCCACAAAATAGGAAGGCGAATGAGAGGATTTGAACACTGTTCCTAATACCACATGCAAACATGGCTCCTGCCATTGACAATCCCAGACCTGGGTGCCCTTGTGGATGTGGGTCCAACTCAGAGACTCGCACGGAGGCGGGGAAGAGCCAGACGCCTCTTCTTGCCCCAGCAGCAAGTGGGGAATGGCTCTGTCTTGGTGCCTGTCCAAATCACTGCTTCCTCCCTCCAGATAATCCCAGTGACAGGTCCCCGGGAAGGGGGCACCAAGGTCACCATCCGAGGGGAGAACCTGGGCCTGGAATTCCGGGACATCGCCTCCTACGTCAAGGTGGCCGGTGTGGAGTGCAGCCCTTTGGTGGATGGCTACATCCCTGCAGAACAGTAAGTGGAGGCCCCATGAGGCTTAGGGTGCTGTGGCTCTCTGGTGTTGACTCGCCTTCCCTGGCCAACAACTGACAGCCAATGGCCAACGGTGTTAGAGACTGTTGGGGTGGGGGGGGAGGTGGAGTGCCCCTAACATTCTAGTGTCGTCCCCAGCCCTTGAACTAGCTAGGTGCCATACTGGCAAGCATAGTAAGGGGACATGGGGCCAGGAGGGAAGAGAAAAGCGATCGTTACCTCCTTGGGGTGTGGCCATGGGTGGTGACAAGACAAAGCAAAATGAAAATCTGCAAGATCCCAGCCCACCTGTTAGAGGAGATGTGAGAGTCATGTATCATTGCCTTGTAAATAAGTAAATACAATGTTCCAGCCCAGCAAACACCCCATGAAATGCTTACCAGCACAACAGAATCTATATTCTGTACCATCTCTGCCGCCCCACCCAGAGCGACACCTAGCCACTTGTCTTTAATAACAGGTAGGTTATTGACCCTTTCTAGGTCTCCCTTGGATACGGCAGCTTACCTGTCCACTTGCTGGGTCTTGCCCAGATTTAGTGATTCTGGAGCCATCAGTAACACCATCTGATTTCCATCCGGAGCTTCCTAAAGCACTCTTAGTAGATCCTGTGACTGAAGGATCTACTCTGGATGGAATTCACCTCCCTGGTCCCTCATGGCTTATTTGCCCAAAGAGCTTTCTGTGGCTCTTTCAACTTTTGGAGTCCTTCCTAGAACAAAACCAAAGCCAACTGCTACCAATCTACTGTGATTTGGGGAACTTTAAAATGCCCTATTCTGGACCTGCATAGCCAAACAGAAAATATATGATTATAAAGTCACATGATTGCAATATCGTGGTACTAATTAGATCAGTGGAAGAAGATGGAACACCCAGAAAAGAATCCTGATACGTAAAAATTTAGTATGTGGTAAAGGTGACATTTCAAATCAGCAAGGAAAGCCAAGATCAGTCAATAAGCAGTGGGGGTTAACTCTCAGAAAAAAACATATATATATATATATATATATAT